TTTAAAAGATCTTATTATTGTTTGCAGTGAGAATATACCTTTTGAATTCGAAAGAACAGTGTACAATCAGCTCGATGGTGCAGAAGTGGGCAGTCCCATGGAATCAACATCAGCTGACGTAATTCTAGGAATGGCTGAAAGACGATTGAAGGATAATATTTCAATGACTATTTTGTACCAACTTATTTTTAGTGACCCTGATCATTAAAATACCAATTTTTACACTTTTAGTACTATTTACTCTAATCTCTCTGTTTCCTTTGAGAGGGAGAAGGATAGTTAGTAGAATTTCCTAGATATCAAAATCCGGAGACAATCAGATGACATTTTGCAACGATCCGTCAACCGGAAGACCACATGGAGTGGACAATACTTATCATTAGCTAGCTTTGCTTCGGTGACATATAAAAGAGGTTTGGAGAAAATTTCGTTCCGTCGTGCCAGGAACATTTGTTTCCCCTGACAACGTTCAAGTAGAAGTTGCCTTTCTATAAAGGACTCTACTGGATAATATGGTTATACCAAGAAATTTATCCATGTCCAGAGCAGACGCATGCCACTGATTGATTCCGTCTGTAAAGTATCGAACAAATGCTTCTCCTCCTGATTCACTTTCTAGGGTGATCATATAATGAACGACATGCTTCAGAAGCTCAAGGCAGCATTAGGTGGAACGTTTCCTGCCGCACAGCTTCGATTGATACCGTATCCCCAAGTGCCTTGTTTGGATAACCGAACCAGCCGCCCAAATCGGCTTTACATTCAAATCTATCGATTCACCTACGGTTACGGTGATACTTACATCGACAGAACACTCCGGCTCCTGTCACAACGGTCGTCTAAACACATTCTCAAGTGATTGGTACAATTATTGACGTAATACAGTCTTAGAGGTCAATTGGATAAGAGAAATCCAGGGTCAATCAATAGCAAAACATACCATGACAACCGGACACATAGTTGACCCACTTTTATGTTTCAAACCGTCAGTACGTAACATGATTTCGAAGCTCTTAGCCTTCAGCGAAGCGATGTTAATCAAGTTACATAATTCAGTTTTGTGTGCACAAATTCAAATTTATTCAAATGGCCATGGAACTGATTACGCCCCCCCCCTCTTCCCTGACTATTGTCCGTTGATCCATTGGACAGTTATCAAAACTTTCTTACATAATAAGCAGCATATTGTTTTGCGTTGTAGCGGCTAAGGAGATTTCATGTATATAGCAAATGAAGCGTGGACTGAAAAGCTAGGACTCACTAGAAAGCTGTTTTGACTCATGAAATAAGCAGTAGGTTGTGAATGTTTCCAACGGAGTCATAACCCCGGAGACTAGCGCTGAGATGGGCGAGGTCCGTTTCTCAAAGCAAGCTCGCAAGGATGGGTTGTGATATATCATGTAAATGGAAAATGAAAAACGGTCTGATCACCTGCCCGGTGGCCAAGTGGGTAGCATGCTTGCGTTCTACCTGTGAGGTCCCGGGTTCGCGATCCTCAGTTGGGTCGATGGATTCGCATTGCTGATTAGACGCAACCAGATCAAAACAGCTGTCCAGTGCTTCCTAGCTTTTCAGTTCACCTTTCATTTGCTATATACACGACGAATTCTCATTTGAAATTAAATCAAATCCTCGGTTACTAATATGATTTAAGAAAATGTTCACATCTCGTAGTATTTGTCTTCTCTCTGTTCCAAAGAATAACATCGCTCAATACACCCCCGCCCCCCATTCACAATACAATCGATCATTAATTTTTCACTTATTAGTTAATTAGTTTTTTCCTTTATATTTTCTGTCTATGGTAAACAGTTCAGTATAAATGAAACCAGTGAAATGCTCAAAACTGATCGGGGCTTATACTTCAAAGTGAACCTGGTTAAAACTCCGTTCGCCTTGATTGTCGTACAGTAACCATAGTACGATTCATCTGCCGGATCTCAAAAGTGACCCAAAACATTTGTAAGAAAATTGTACGAGAAGGAAAAAAATACATATCTAGAAAAAATGGATGTTATTAGCACTTTACTGGTCTGGCTTATTCAGAACAATCTGCTGAACATCATCAGGTATAGACATCGAAATTTCTGTTTCGTTTTACATGGCAATTCTTGAATGACCGTTCGATATTTTCCCATTTTCGATCAGATGAGAATCGGTGGGTTCAAAATATACAAATTCTGCCCATGGGGAAAGATGCACTGGTCCTTTGGGAGAGAGATGAAAATGTGATGGGCACTGTGCATTACACGTCGGGGGAAGAGAAGTGGATTCCGGCTGAAAACGGTGTACTCCTGGAAGCGTTTGATACAAAAAGTGTTGATCGTGTATGCCTATCAAGCTTGAAGGAATTGCACGATCATTGTATTGAAAAAGACGTAATTAAAAATGGTGAGTCATGCTGATTGACTTCTGTACCCTTTTGTTCCGTCCGGCACTGTCCCGATGTGCAAGCAGACCTGGTATTCTACCGATGCTGGGCTAATATCTTCTCCCTGAATTTTCTCATTCGCCAAGTGTGCGTTTAAATCTGGGTTGGAACCGATGCACTTTAGCAAAGTTGTTTATGTCTTGGTCAGAATATGCTCCAATGAAGAGCTCCTCAGCGCACAGAGATCTGAACGTATTCCACCCAATTGGAGATCTGATACGAATGGGTTAGTGCCTAGAACCCCACTTATCACAATTTGTTGTTCTCTCGAATAGGACTCACTTTTATCACTTCTTCAACTGATCAACAGTTGTTTAGTGAAACGCGTCACGGTTCTTTTTTTATCTATCCCAACAAATCACACAATCTGATTATGAGAAATTGTATCGGTAAATTCCTTAATGAAATCCCCATTGGTACAATAAGTGGAATTTGGTTGTATCACATTTCACCTGTCAAAGTGACCTCTTGCGTCTCTGAGGGCGCCATGCAACATATTTGAACGTTGAAGGCCAAACACACACACACACACACACACACACACACACACATATATATATATATATATATATATATATATAAGTGTGTATGTAAACAGGAAATCCTCATGCACAAATCAGTGAAATATTCGTCATGAAACATTTGTTTGTCAGTGGACGTGTTTTCTTCTGTTGCGATGCGTAGTTTCTGCCATAGCAAACAATTTGTTACATACCTCCTTCGATATAGAAACTTTGTTACATCCTGTAGCTTCCAAATAAGCGTTGCTTTCGCTTACTATTAGCATAGATAAAGCCAATGTAACTCGCGTTTTTCCCATTTCTGATGACAGAGTTGACGTATAGCGACGGATAGCTTTTTCGCTGTTGTTGTTTTTGTTGTTGAAGCTCGTCAGTAACGTGAACCGTTTGTGTGTTCCTCGGGAAGACTCAACCCTGAACAGTTTGGGACTAGGAGACAAAAGTTTGTCGATTAATACAATAATTAATTAATACAATAATTTTATGAACTTGGAATACTGTGTTTAGATAGATTTATCCATTTTTTAAGGTATTAGGTCTTGCTCAGAGTGTTCTTCACTTCTGGTTTTGTGGGTTTACTGTGTTAATCGTAGTAATAGTAGTACGCACTGATCACGAATTACGAATCACGAATAAGAAATCACGGACTAGCAATTACGGACACAACGTTAGCACTGTATAACACTGGTACTTGCACGGCAGTGTTCCACGTAACCCAGACGCGAGGAAAAAGCCACAGGAATAGAAAATCATTAATTGAAAGAAACCAAGGGGATTAAATGATATGTACAGAATAAGTTCATTGGTCAACTAAGCCTGTGCCAATCACGTGCTAGCATTTCTGGTGTTGTTCAGCTTCTGTCTGGGCAGCAAGGTTTCTGGGTGGTTGATAAGATCGACCAATGGTCTGTAGTCCGGAAGCTGTGACACTCACGCGCAGTTCGGACGTCACCTGGGAAGCTTGATTCATTACAGTTGTCCAAAAACTGTAACGTGTCACTCCGTGGCATGCTTGATCTCGTAGGCTTCGATCACCACATTTATCTTCTGGGGGAGGAGGGGGTGTTCGTGCATTTCGTACATGTCGTTGTGCGTTGTTTGCATCTTGTCAAGGATAAATAGGATAAGTACATGTTCTACGAGCGCTGAGCAAAAGCATTTCCGGATGCACTTAGGTTTCAGTTATTACACAGAAATAAGCATGACATTTTATCGAAGTACTCTCCATCAACGGTAATGCACTCAAACCATTTGGCGAAACAATTCGACCATGCCGAAGCCAGGGGACCCTTCGACCACTTTAATTGAGGCCTCCACCGCAGTTGTTGGTGACTCGTATCACATTTCGCGCATCATGCACTTCACATTTGGGAACACAACAAGGTCACACGGAGCCACATTTGGCCTGTAGGTTGGATTACCAACATCCTGGATGCATTCTCTAGCCAGAAAATCGTCGACGACATGCGACCTGTGTGCACGTGTATTGTCGTGGTGCTGCAAGATCCCCCGTATTTGCATTCTTTGACGACTCCTGGCAACAGCTTCCAGCATTGTTGACAGATAGTAGGTGGCTTACCCGTCTCCGGTGGCTGTACTTCCCTGTATGACCGGTATAGTAACCCCATGACCGGGTTTGGCCGTGAACCCCAACACCATCTGCTTGGCCACACTGCGCTCGTGTTGGAATTTCCAAGTGACAGCCCCACTAAGCGGCATTCATTGAGCCGATTGTTCTTGGTCTCTGGGTCGAATCTGTACACCAAAGTCTCATCACCACTACATTCGGACGTCCACCGTGAAACCTGGCAAGCATGGTGCCTCACCAATTCACCCGAACTGTTCCTCACTGAGGTGATGGAGTACTCAGCGTGTGCACACGTTTCTTCGATCCAGCTTCTCATGTGGATTGATCTCGGTGAGATCCCAATGGCTTTCTCCAGCTGTGTCACTGTCACCCGCTCATCCTCTTACACCATCGCTTGCACAGCAGCAATGGCCTCCACAGGTTAACTACACCGTGTCTTAAAATCCAGGGGCCGCCTGCCACGCTCAACTTCCGCAAACCATTCGAGCACCGTGGTTCTTAAAGGTGTGTCATCATCGAAGTTAGCTCGCAGACGATCAACACTCTGCTACTACCACCTTTGAGGTCGTAGAAAATCATCACCTTTAATAGGGACATCAACTGAGTTCCATCCTTACAGTTCGAGTATAGCTCCCTTCGTGTAACTTGTGAGCTGTACTCGTCTGTGGATATTTGGTTACACGTGAGTTGCAATCACTGAACAATACGCGATTACAGTTCACGTTCTACTTACCCGTTCATTTATACCTCGTACCCGTCGTCTACGCTGCGTGCCCGGAACCTATTTGCCTAGCCCTCGTTTGACTTTTGTCAAGGTCAAGTACATGTAATAATACCGAGCTTCAACGAGAACTTTCTAGCTCTCCAATGCCCTTTGTTGATTTTCCAACAAATGCTCCGTTGCAGACGGAATGCACTTAACACACGGGAACGATCGGGGGTGGGGGTGGGGTTGTATTGTGATCGATTGTACAACAGAATCTGGACAATATCAGACTTTTGCCGAGGTCACATTTTCTCTACAATCCAACTAACTGTATGTTTACCTTTCCATCTTCACATTAATGCGTTGTGACCCGGTTGTTTTTCACGCGGTTGCCGTACACCAACATCCATCCTCGCTCACGATGACTGTGCGCCTTCGATCCATTCACATGTGGTTGCACTCACTGATCTTTGTTGCCTGCGTGCTTTCAAACAGTTTGCAAGCGCGTACCGGTATATTTCCGGTGCCACGTTACCCCAATACACGTCTGTCACAACTTCAATTCCTATGCTTTCCTCAGTGTTAACTCGTTTGTTTGCGAGTTACGGGACCCAATTAGAAGCTCAAAGTAGGACTGGTTGTGGTTGATATACTTCAGGAGCATCAGAGACAATCATTTTTGGAACAAGAAACCCGGGTTCTATTAATCTTTTTTAATTATAATCCATACACCCTGAACCTATTTTTGTTGGTGAATTACTTATTCTAATGTCTTCTTTGAATCTCAATCAAATAGATTTCACAATTCTCTGTCATCCATCTGTACTGCATTTTAGTGTATTTCTTCGTAATCGGATGTCGGATGTCACGTGAGATTACTAGTCGGCCTCGCCAATCGACCTTATCAGTATTGAAAGGCTTAATGTGTATTGATCCGTATTTCACCCATTGACCATATGAATCGTTTTGACACAATTACGGTCAGTCCGCTCCAGTTCAGTGACTTGTGTGTTCTTCACAAACCACAAGGGGATGGAGTGTACACAGTTATGACAAATAATCCTAATCCGAAACAATACAAACACAAATGTGTACAGAGCGTCCATCAAATTTTTGATGAAACAGTTTCCGGGCTTTACATCTGACATTTTTCACAGCTTCTACTGTGCACATCTAACAGAGTGGGAAGGGGAAGGGTTGAAGAGGCAATAACTTCACGTATAAATTCACTAATCAAATACCTGTTGTTAAAAGAACTCTGTTCTTCGAAACAGAATCAACTCAATTGGGACTGTGTGATCGTTGCAAATGAGTGTACCAAATCATTTGAATAATTGACCCGCCAATGTGTTAGTGTTGCTCAGAGTTAAATTTTCTCTCCGATTCTGGAAGAGCCAAACACTTTTTGGCGCTGAAACACACATACAAACAAACAGTTTTAAGTCCAAATGAAATCCCTTGTTTTAATCATTTTCTTTTATTGCTTGGCAATCTCATCCCACAGTGTTCGTAATGAAGCGGATTCCTGTTGATATCAAAATCGAGAAAATTATGGAGCATCTGGAAAGTAAATGGGAAGCGAAAATCCCCGAAATCGATCATTATATGGGCGTTTGGATTGCCGGAATATCACATCGGGTCTCCGAACGTTTGGAGTCTGATTCAACCCACAGTATATTGGAAGATTATGACCCTTGTGAACGATATATTTTTGCACTTTATGGAGTTTTCAAAAATAATACTAGGGTCGAAATGAGTTACGCCTCATATGATGCAGGTAAGCCACCATACATCTGTTATGCCGCAATTTGAACGAAAACATGCTTTCATCTTTCTTTCTTTCTTTCTAAACCACAACTCACACTTAATTGTGGTAAATATTGGATGAGACAGACCTCCGATTCTATCCGGTTTTGATAAAATGGTCAGTGCTTACGCAAAAAACACAATACTCTTACTAACCATCAGCACACGAGATGAATGTGAAATGTTGTGGTTTGAATGACCAATTTGCCGTCGTTCATTCATTCATCATTCACTTGCTGCGTTCTAAACAATTTTTCTGTGTGTTTATAATCACTAGTATATGAATGACTGGAAAACACGATTGATTTTGCGGTCCTTGTCGCTCGTCAGGTATGCTTTTGCCGTAATCATCTGTCTGTTCATTCATATGCTCCAACTCCCAATGCGAATCAGGCATGGCAAATCTCATTTTTGGCTCGGAGAGTGTGGGGACGTGGAGACAAACAAATATCGAAGAGTCAGTCATTCCGATGATTCTGTCGTGTGACGACGCGTTTGCCAAAGCAAACCGCTAATTACAGAGGTGAATTTATGCCGAATGAAATCAAACCGTCTGCTGAAGCGGTACTGCAAACCCAAAGTAGAAAAATGTACCGAGAGCTGAAAACCGAGGATACAAACAACTAAAGAGAACTAAATTCCGACTACCGTTACTCCTGGTTTTGAATGAATCGACTGTGATCCAGTGGTGGTGTTAGTGCTCTTGTTGTTGTTGCTATTGTTATTGTTGTTCAAGTCAAGTCACCCGAAGGGTGAGTTTTTTGCAGTTTGAAGTTTCCTGAGCTTATAAACATAAAAAGATAGTTTTCGAACTTTTGGGTCAGGGTGACACCAAGTTATTTAACAGATGTAGATGCGGGAATATTTTGATTGTTAACTCTACTATCAGGGATGTTATTCACTGATGAATGATAATGGGGACCGTTTTCAAGACCAAATGGAACTTCAATACACTTACTGATGTTAATTACAAAGGATCGGGTCATAAACCAATCGTGAAGTTCATCAAGCCTGTCCTGGCGAGATGAGAAACTGTCTGAAAAAGGAGTTGAGCAACCAAATACGATATCATCAACATACCTGTAAGCAATAAAGTTGCTTGGAATGGAGAGATTTGGTATATACATAAAAACGAGAAAGAGGACAAAATATCACATTGAAAAACATGGGCTTCAAGTAAACTGGATCTTACTGGAGAAGTAGTCAAGACTTCAAGACTTCAGGAGTCAGGCCACTCTCAGAAAGACGTTGTTGTTTGTAGTGGTGGTGGTGGTGGTGGTATTTACAAACACACGCACACTCACAACCTTGAGAATATGGGTTATTGATCTTAACCGCTTCAGTGTGATTGATATCAAACTCATTTGTTCAGGTTTCTTCAATCTACACTCTATCTTTTTGCAGTTTGTTCTCCTTTGATTTGAAAAAAATAAAAACAGGCCAGTTGTTGGGAAATGACTTACCAATTGCGCCAATCTATGTGGAGTGCGAACAGATATCAATCTTTATCTTCACATCTATACATTTTACTTCATTTATTGAGTATACACAGGTACAATGTTCAGGAAGGTGAAGCGGCTACCGGGTCACCACCGTTCCAATATTCTCATCGGTCACATTGAAAATATCTCTTTCTGTTCATCTTTCTCTGTCTCTCCCTATTTGCAGAACAATACAATATTGACATGCAAGCGTTCCCGTACAAGGTCCATTGGACGGTCTTAGTATGGAAACCTCCAGAAGACTGCGGGTCGGCTCTGACTGCCGAAGTGGTCATGAAGAGTAAATCTAATACTTTATTAGACACGATCAATCTGAACAAGGGTAGTTTGATTCTACCAACCTCGTTTGTGAATGAGACGTGCCAGCTGACCGTGGTCGGTCGGAACCGGGAACACAACTATGTCCTGTCGAACAGCACACGCACATTTGCACAGATTCAAAGTGAGACAACATGATTATAACTGGTTTTGCATTCTTCGATTGGGACGCAATTTGCTGATACATACGGCTTTTATCCATTGCAAATGTTTGATTAATTCCACATAACACCTAACGAGGACACAATTAGGCAAACAAGCTCGTTTTCGGTGCATCTCAAACATGCTATTACAATACAATCTACATGAGGGCAGTAATAGATAAAGATTTACAGGAAAAAAGGAAAAGCAATTAAAGTAGCCAAGAGTTTATCATAACTGGTCGCCAGTTATTATTTTCTCGGATGTTTCAGGACGAGTAACTTGTCACGGCTGCTTGAGTGCTTTCACAAACTACTTTTCAGCACACCGGGGGTGAGTTGGTTGTGAAGAGGGGTACTAGCTNCTGTGGCTAGAATTTCGGGAACGCACCTGTCTATACCTTTCAACTTCATTTGAATCTGTTGTAATTGTAAGTGAACCCCGTGGAAACCTTGCGGGGTTTCCAGTGGAATGCGATTGGTTGGAATCACTAGAAGTTACAACGGATTCACTTGAAGTTGAACAAGTGGACTATTCGGTTTTTACTTTTTATACATCGCGGTCGGACCACTCCGGTGTTACGTTTACGATGCGACCAGTATCAACAAGACACCGCACAATCACACCTGTGATTGACCAAATTAGTCCACTTCTCAACCAGGCAGTGTGGTGCTCACGGATGCGCTCGGACAGACGTCTGATCATGCGATCAACGTACGCTGCTCCACATGAACAAGTGAAAGAGTACATATAGAAAAAAGCAATAGAATCGGGAGTTGTACCGGCCTATTCAAACGAGCTAAAAAAGGCTAAGTGGTTTTGGAGCTTGGCTGTGTAGAATGTTTTGTTGATGGCACTTGACAGTCTCCTATCCACAATCTCGGTGCGGCCTTCAAATGGTGGATGTACACAGACTTCTTCTCAGTAATGACTCTCTTGGGAAACGCCTCTTATCTTTGCACCACAGATTTTACCAAGCGCTCCAGGTATCCGCCCATCCCGGATGAAGATATTCCGCAAAATTTGGAGTTCATCAACCAGCATGTCCTCCGTGCAGATTTATTCAGTTATGTTGACCAAACAGCGCATGAGATTCCTCTTCATAATGAGTAATGCAATTGAATGTACTGCCCATTCCACGTACACTGACCACCCGATCGACCCGTCATCACGACGAGTTAGACAATTATCCAGATAAGTTAACTGATTATTTGCTTCATTTTCAATCGTCAATTTCAAATTCCGATGAGCAGCATTAACTTGATCTAGTAGATGTTGACACTTTGTTGTGGAATCGACCAGGCACAAAATGTCATCAACATAACGCGTATATAGTAAGTGTTGTTCGATATGTGTTTGAGCGTATCGTCTCCTATTTTAGACATGTAAACATCAGCAAACAACGGCCCCGGCGGGTACGCCATTGCTACACTGTCCTTGTGGCCATAGATTTCCTCATTGAATTTGAACTGCAGATAGTGAGTACAAAAGAATAACAAATTTTTAGGTCATTTATCGCTATGTCTACGTCAATCCCGTTGCTTTCGATATAAATACACAAATAATCGATTGTTTCACCGATCGGAACAGTCGTGAACAGATATGTGACATCTAGTGAAAATATATCGCAATCTATGAAGTTTAAGCCCCTCAAGGTGTCAACGAGACCGGTTGCATCCTAAGGACTATACTAAGCTAACGTCACTCTTACCGGTTCCAGAGAAGACAAGCCAACCGTTTAACCACCGCATGGCAGAGAGAAAGTTTCACATATTCAGGATTGGCCGGAGGGGAACTCTATCCTTATGTACTTTGGATAGCCCATAGAACCGTGGAATCGTAGCCCCGGTCGGACGAACCGGTTCAAACGTGGCGGAGTCAATATAGAGCTCTATGCCCGGTTAAGGTGAAAGTCGAGGGCCGCCAATCAAATTCGGTTTGGGCAAAATGAATGGAAGCTCGAAAATGGTGGGGATGGGCGAGTCACAACTTCGATTTGTTTAAAGCAATTATTTTCCGAAATACACTTGAGCACAGAACACAACACTGCAAGCGAACACGATTTAATTCCGGAATCGTTTCGCTGCATCTCAGCTGGTGGTCATTGCAGAATACAAAGCAGTTTATATATCACAAGTGTTGATAATCTAGCATGGTATCAAATCACTCTTCCGCTTACACGGTTATCAAGGCAATGCCAGACTAATGTAGACTTCGTTTTGCTGACAAAGCATGGGCTTTCGGCGCTTGATTGCGCTAAGGCCTCTGCAAATCTCAGCAGCCGTTCATTCTAGGTTGTGTAAAAAAGCCGAAAAGAAGTTCCGCGGTCGGCCTGGTGGCCAGTCAGCAGCAGATGGCGAGCAATTGATGATGCAGGTGTTCTGTGCTGCTGGCTTGATGTGTTTGCGGCCCTCAGTCTGATCCGTCTGCATTCAACCCATGCTGGTATACGTTATGCCACTCGGGTACACAGCTGCCTCTCTATTCTGCCCACATTGGTGGCTCCGCACCCACATTGAAATTCATAGATTGCATGTGATTTGGCGGACAAAGGGAGTAGTGATTTCACCAAGGGCTTCGAAGTCTGGGTTGTGGCGAAGCGAACGACCGGATTTGCAGTAAAATATGTGCGTTCTACCGTTGCTACCAGCCGTCTTCATACACATTGGCCTACATCGTCACCTTTGAACAGCAGTTGAATGAGAACGTCACACTTTGGTGCTGTCAACCCGAGGCCTTGGGTTCGGCTTGTACACTGTACCTTTGAATAAACTCCCCTGGGTAACCATTGAGCTTTAGAGTTTCCGTGAGCCGAATTAGCTCACTCCCCACATTATCCGGATTACACAACCTCCTAGGTCAACCATACAGGTTACGCACGAGACCTCGTTTGTTTGTAGATGTCTGGTTTGTAACGTCAAATTGTTACGGTCTCAGCAAACCGTAACAACCTACCAGTCTCCTGTTTATCTAAAACCCGGAATGCTTGTTTGGGGTTGATGCAAATTTATCAGTCCCGTAGCTGACAGTTAAATGACCAGAGGGAAAGTTGGAGCCTTTTGACGCTCAGTTTCCCGGGACGCGTTCGGAAAACGGAGCGGTCAGTCATCTCTCAGCCCTTTCAATACAAAAGTTAATTAATCGAACAACCAAACTGACAGCTTGGTTTGTTAAAGCTCGTGTGCTTTCGCAAAGAAGAATTTGTGAACAGATGCAGTACGTCCTTCAAATAACTTAGTTTAAACACCGTTCCGATTACCTTTGAAAGGCAGTGCGATGAGAAGATTCTTCATTGCTAAATCGCATTTCCTTGTCCTAAACGTATCGTTAACACGAAGCATAAAGAAACGTGTCTTTTGTATTGATTGATGTATTTTCTGTTTGCACTTCCGTAGATGCCTTTTGAAGAAGTCAGTATTAGTCCTAGTGGACTCCCCATTGTCAAACTCATCAAATTGTGGATATAAGTTCCAAACGAAACAATCATGTACACCTTGTGTACATAGTAGTCAAAGCTTCTTGAAATGATAAGGTGGCGTGATACCATTACTGGTTAGCAATATTGACTATCTCCTCAACGGTGTTGTACTGCATTTTCTCATCACATCCATGTATGGTTCAAATAATGAAAGGGCTTGATTTACATCTATTTTATTGACTTTTGCAATCCACTGATTTAAAATGACCATCTTTCGGGCTTCAGCTTCATGCACAATGCTCAGTTCATCCAGTCAACTACACACTCGGAAGCACGATAGACTCCAATTTCGCTCTTATTAGAGCTATTCAATGGTGTATACTCGTCCGGGTTGTGAACTACGGACCCATCACATGGAAGGCGTGTGTATGTTACCACTGTGACAACATGCTCATGTTAGGGCCGAACCGAACCGCCAATTCATGTTTTTTCAGGTGTCGTCTTCAGTTTTAGCCCCACAGCAACGAAGGGCGGTACATTTGTCTATCCGTTAACTCCAATCGAAAGCCTCTCACCCAATCAGGTCTTCCGTGCAGTTTACAGGCTGACTGACCACAAACTTGCAAGGCTGGCTTAATAATTTTCATTTTGGTCCCAGGCACCTGTGAGTAGTGGTGTGGGATAATGGGTCCGGAGTTCAGAGCGCGGACAGGACGACGGTGGATATGCACGAGTGATGATGAGCCCTGACAAGGGTGAAACTCGAGTCCAATGCTTCCCCAGTTCATGTTTGACTGGATGAACTGAGGGTGGTGCGTGAAAATGGTCTGAAGGATGGTCACTTCAAAGAAATATCGACTATCCCATATCCATGCTCACATCTCTGAGGTAAACGTGAATTTTTTTGCTTTTAGTTCATTTTCGAATTCGTTGTTTCTGATTGTATGATATGCTACACAGTGACTGCAATTGGGTTCGAATACTAAAGAAAAAGTTGCCCGGTTACTTTCATCGGCCACCACGCGGTACTGTGCATGGGTTACGCAGCACACCAATAACACATTATAGCTGGCACTCAATGTTCCTTCCTTCATTGACTTTATCCATTGTTTCTTTTCCCAAATCAAATATGTGATCACTTGAAGTTCCCTCCATAGCACTCGGCTCAGTTAGAAAACACAAATTTGTGGATATGTTATTGACTCATAACGTGCTTTTTGCCTAATATTTGATCAATTGTAATTTTAAAACATAAGTCCGAGGGCGAACGAGCGCTCCCTCGATTAATTCATAATCGTATCTGTACAGATCAACATAAGAGTTTGTTGGTAGTGGGTACACATGTTCACCCCGAGTCGAATGTTCATTCGGGATGGGGATAGGAGAGGAGTGCGTCCTATATGTTCATGGTTTAATGAGATCGATTGTGATTGGAGTGTTGGAGATGTTGGTGATCAATTTGGGATCAGGGTAAGTGGACAGCTTGATCCAATCACTTTTGTTCGCATAGTTCCGGTGCGAAAATATAAATGCCTATCATCTCAACCGTGGCTAGCGTGTGTGTGTAAGCGTATCATCT